GTTACCGGTGCGTTAGCAGACGTTTAGAGCGAGTCACATAACCGAAACGTCACCTGAAAACTGGCTGCCACCCGCTTGATAATCTCGTAAGACACCTATTTCGCGCGAGACAGCCTCGAAGTTGGATCGGAGGGAAGGATACAGTGGATCAGGGAACGGAGAACAGTAAGATGAACCAGAGGATTGAAGAGGGTGCAGGATAAAGGACGGAGGATGCAGTGCTGGAGGATGGAAAACAGAGGTCGGAGGACGTAGAGGGTGGTGGAGGTGGGTGCAGCATGGGAGTGATCAATACTACCTCCACACCAAGTTCCCGCAAGAGTAACAAAGATGGACCGGGTACGCGCGAAGACACGATTTCCGGAAAGATTTCCTCCTTCGACCGAGCTATTCACCCTCGAATCCTCGAAACAGGGGACACGGAAACGTTAACGAACGAGCTTGCGGATTGATATTATTCCGGGGATGTTTAGAGAAGGTGCAACCACTTCGGCCTGATAATAACCTCCTCGTTTGGTCGCTCTAATGAACTCCAACTAAGCGCCCCTATTGATAGCCTCGAGCCTTACCAGATATTCTACTCTACGCGATACAAGTTTCATGTGTACCCTCCATAAACAATCCTCCATTGTGTTTTACGTTCTTCTAAATACCCATTGTTCGTGGTCACGTTCCGAACGTGATCTATAGTCCTGCTTATAGCCATTTATTCCCTCGTTTATTCGCGATATCTTCCCACTCTATCTACCGAAGACATAATTCTTCTGAAAATACTGCGATATAGGAATGAAACGAAGAAAAAGCGACGGTACACGATTTCGTGCTGAGAACTGAAAATGAAACGGCCAGAGTACCGGGAACTCGCCCTATATCCGTAATTTCCAGGAAGAAAGATCGGACGAAACGTTCGTGTGAAGCGATTGTTTAAAGAGAAATCCGTTCCAGCTAATTCCATCATCGGAACACAGGATTTTTGCGAAAGGTGAACACACGTGACTGGTAATTTCATTGGCTCTAGCAAATCGAAGTCAGGGACGTACATACCCGATAAACACACAAAGCGAAGGAGAACGTGTACGTCCACGCAGAAAACTAGAATGATAAAGCGAGTTAAAAGGAAGGGGAGAAGGTGGACGTGTTGTATCCAGAACGCTATAACCCGATCCGTTCGGTCGTGCGTGACTGGGGGCTGTTAACCTAAACAACGAGCCACGCCATCGATAGCCCAGTGACTCCGTTTCTCTGCATACCAACGTGCATACAGGTTTGCCGTTACATTGGTCAGACACACGAACGCATGTGAAACAAAGTCGAACGTCTCGTCCGATTCCTTTCTTCGCATCGATAAAGATTGACAATGGCGAGTAGCTGATAATGGACACGACGATAACGTTTATTCAACGCCACACCCTTCTGATTCCCGGCCACCGTTCGCATTTTTCGTTCCTACTACTTCGGGCTGATTCCATTTTCTCCACCATTGTTCCCTACCCGTTGTTCATATTTCACGCGACACCCAGCCTCGAACGCACTCGACAGACACAGACAGATGTTAATCCAGTTTCCGTGGCTTCCCGTCCGACTGACATTGCATCAGTGCTCGTTTAATCGAGTTTTAAGCTTCCGCCGGAGGCGAGGTCGGAATGCCGCGACACACACACAGCCCTGAAACGAGCAGATCGTGACAGGGGTAGCAACTAATTGTGAATTCAGACGAGATAACGTCAGGGTACGTTCTCATTAGGGGCGTATTCAAGCGTTCCGATTGGGTTCCTGGAAAAATTAGAGGCTTCCCGAATGACAAATTAAGCGGATCAATTTTGTGAAAAAATTCCCACGAACCTGTGTCGTTCTTCTCTCGCTGAAAGCGACAAACTTTTCTCCGGTGAAAACGAGACTCCCCGAGATATCCGCATAATCTTGAGAGTTCCTCGAGAAGGCTATGGCTTCCAGGAGTTCGTTATCGACGATTCGATTTCGCGGCTGGACGGCCGCATTGGGCCGTTTTGGCCGTGGCGCTTTTTCCGCGAACGTCATCCCGACGGAACAGGGCTCGGGATAGAAATTCAAGGGAGGGAAAATCGGCAATGGATTGGAAAGAAATATTGCCGAGCGCGCCGATCCATTTCCGTGCAACGATGGAACGTAACAGGATGAAATCCGATATTTTAATTTCGAGAGGAAAATGATTGCCCCCACCGTCCGGGTCGATACACGCATCCGATTAAAATCGTTTCAGCCGTCGCGGAGAGGCTGTTAGTCCTAGACAGCCAGAAATTGCAATTTTTCAGTGAAACTGCTCCTCGAGGAATCTCATCGGAGTTTCAATGGGCTCCTCTTATCGACGTTATTACTCTGTCGTTCGAACTATCGTTACTATTTCTCTCCCCTTGTGCAAAATCGAATCTCCTCCCTCCTCCTCGATAAGCTCGATGAGTGATATTCGAAGAAACAAAAAATCCGATATCTAAAAACAGCGGAATTTTTAGGGTAAAAAAAGTGGTATAGAGGCTATATATGTGTGTCGTCCGTGATAAAAATCGGATCAGATACGAATTCGCGGAAACAAGTTTGCGCGTGCCTGATTTCAGATTACAATGGCCCAATCGATAGAGGGGACATAATTTATGTAACCGTCACACGAGAACCTAGTAACCGTAATTGCGATTGAAATTGAACGTTGCGTAGAAATCTTTTCGAAATTCGCTCGAGACGTTCCATCGAAAATTCGGTATCTCCTCTCTGTGGGTAACGCGAGGCCGCGTTTGTATGCGGAATCGATTAAGTAGATCTAGGCGTACGTGTGCAGCCACGCCTCGAAAGCAACATGTAACAACATAGCGGCAGATAACATTTTTAACCGAGCTTTTACGCCTGGTTATAATCGTAAAACGCTACTTTGTACTTTCGGATTTATTACCTGAACGCCGTTCAATTTTATCCTCTTCGTTGATTCGCGTATTACCGTACACATTTTCCAAAGGGTTCGTTAATTCGCCTATTCCGAGGACATCTCTGCACCATGGGCTGCTATTTTACTTTCGGGTATTTTTCAGCAGAGTGTTTCTCCAGGCGAAACGAGCGAAACAAGGCCCTGCTTTAGGTCCGCTGCATCGATTTCAACTTCCTCCATTTCCGTGACACGTTCTGCTCGAGATCGCGGGATTTGCGTCTCGTTCAAGCGAATCGTGAATTTCGCGTACGACGTCCGTCTAATTGCGTGGGTGAGACGATTTAACTTGGCGAAATCGTTACAATCTGCCCTGTAACGTCACTCTTCTGGTCTCACAGACGAAGAAATACTCGCCGTCCGTCAGGCAACTTGGGTGATGAATTAAACGCGGACAAATTATCTTACAACCCCCGGGTGAAAGATATCGCGGCTTCGAATAGTTTTCTTTTCTGCAATTTCAAGCAAGATGAGGGAGAACCGCGCCAGATTTCGGCACCCTTTTTCTATCGAACTTTTCATCGCCCGTTCGAGATGAAACGCGAAATCACGCGGTGTGAAACGGGATCGTTCGAGCTCTCGTCGATTTTTCCCTCCCGCGAGATCTATCGGGGCGTTAGGCGAGCGAATTTAATTTGAAAAGTTTCCCGCTTCTGACCAGACACAAACGCGCCTCATTCTACTCTCGTACTCGTCATTTCTCGATAGAGCTCGTCGGCTCCTCTTCAAAACTCACTTTTCAGCGAGGGAGTTGCAGCGTTTTCCTTCGTTCTGTCGTGAGCTCGAACTTTTTCTCTCCCCGTAAAAACGGACCATTAACACAGGTGCAAATATACAGACAGTTTTATCGCGGTTGAAACAGTGGTATGGCTAACGTTACGCTGGCAACAAATCAAAGAGAAAGTTAGCTCGCTTTTAAGAGCAATTTGCGATAATTTTAGCCGAGTGACCGTGCAGGAATACTCCGGCGAAATGACCGGAATGAGCACGCGTGCTTAATTATTCAAACGAGCAGGCAGTGCACCTCGTTTTCTTCATCTGGAAACATTGTTGTTAGACTGGGATCGATCGCGATACTCATCGCAAGTCCTCGCCGCAACAACGTGTCCTGTTTCTTTTCTAGATCCATGGCCATAATTGCAACGACTGATAACAAATCGATCGAGCCATGAGGACGCATCAGTTGCGGCTCGTGTCGCCTGGAATGTAGTCGTTTAAAGGAGTACAATACGCGCACACGAGAAACAAAAGGAGAGAAAGGAAAGAAGGGAATAGCGTGAAAGTTTGTTGCATTTATCGTGAGACGCGAGAGAATAAGAGGGAAAAATAAGAGCGGACACAACGGTGACATAGCGACAGGCAAATGTCCTCGTCGAGCTTTCGCGAGAGCCCGTCGTCGTGCTGCTCACGAGAAGCGACAAGAAACAGAGATAGCGAAGGCGACGCGAGACGTTGCTCGGACGTAACGTCAATTGCACGATAAAAATTCAAGAAACAATTCTAGTCAATCCGCGGAAACCCCTGGCTGTGTTTATCCTTCAAAATCGTAATCGATAGTGTTCAGCTGATCTCGTCTCTTCGTGTGTCAATGAAAAAGGAGAGAAGATCGAAGTAGGAGAGAAAGCGAGGAGAACAGCTCGACGATAAGAGCGCCGATCAGAGGAGACGACGTCAATATTATAGTTATAGTCAAGTGATACATTATACGAGAGAAAGAAGTATCTAGATATCGCGTAGTACAAAAAGAAAAACCGTAGAACGTCGCGAATATTCAATTCACCTCTACACATACATATTCATACGCGCGAACCGTTCGAATCGTAGACGTAAATTTCACCCGTGCGTAATTCAACGATGATCCGTGTGATCGAGAAGCAATAAGAACGGAGAACGAGAGGAAGAAAATTCAATCGTTTTACTCGTAAGTATCGTGCACGCGTTATCGGTGCCCGGCTGTGGTTCAATTCTGTGCGTGATCGAATCTCATCGGACACGCGGCACGTGTTCATTTTCCTCGTAAGCTGCTGAGAGAACGAAAGAAAAGGGAAGAATGGCGTTCGCGGCGGCGAGAATGATCCTTAAGGACAAGCGACGGAAGGCCAGCAAAGAGGACTTCGCGCCACGAAATAGGAGCAAGGTAACACCGACCGTGAGGTCGTTTAATAAAGAAACGAAATTCATTCACGACAGTTTCGATGGACGATGAAAATATCACCGGTGAGCCAAGAGCGGAAAAGTTTTTCAGGACAGACTCTAACGATCAGTTTCTAATTAGCCGGAAAATTCAACTTAAGCTTTTCTTTCCCTGGTTGTTTAATTCGTCCCTATCGGACGTTGTAAATTTTTCACCAATCTTGATATGGAGTACCCGTTTAATCCTATCTCTTCGAATAATCGTGAACGATATTATCGAACCGTGACACGTGTCCGTTTTCATTATCCTCGTTTAATACACGGAGAAGCGTAACAAGTTCCAGCGATTTCTGAACGATATCCGGTAACGAGTCACGGCATGCGGCTCGATCGAACTTGCAGAATTTCCCGGGGTACGGTACGCGATTTTTCATCCAAGAAATCGCCGTATAATCTAATTTATAGAGACGGGGATCGAAGACGCGAGTAGCTTGAATACTCGAACCGCTAAACGTCCGCATGAATCTCGAGTCCAGAGGATTACGCGAATAAAACTGAGGGCGAGGTGCATAGTGACGAAGTTAAACTCGTGTCGCTTAACGTTACCAGAGAACGTTTCTTCCACTCTCGCGTTTGTTCGTGAGAAAATGATACGCAATCGGTATCCAAGGCGAGAATAGAAAGAGGCGGCGTGCACGACTAACTCGATTGGACGGAAAGTCGCGAATGAATTTGGTAAAAAAAGAAAAAGCTTATCGGACTGTTTATCGTCTCTGGTACGTTGGCCAGATAAAATGGTGGTTTCCAGCAAATCGTTCAAAGTTCAGGCATAGCCAATGGCGAGAGCCAGAACCAACCAGAGTGACGATAAGAAATTTCTAGCCTGGGCCGGAAATTAAATCCGCCTTCGCCGGACGACGAACTTTTCCTAACACCCGTTGTTCAAATGTCCCTTCGCTGGAATATCTTTGCTCTTTTTTCGCTTCCTGTTCCCGCCGCTAATTAAGAGCCTATAGGTGATTGGCTGTGCGTCGTGCCAAGCAATTATCGACTCGGTTGGAAAAGTCGAATTTTCTCATCAGGCAGGAAGTCGAAGAGGAACTCTGGTACTTTCGGTCCTCTCTATCGGGAACTTTCGTTCGATCGATCTTGGGTCTGCTGGAATATTTTAGCAGAACGTAACTCGCATATTCCAGTCATACTTTCGCCACGCGATTTTCATCGGATTAGAGCGTAGCCTCTTGAAAACAGTAATCCCAAAAGCCTGGAACAACGTGTAAACTAGGATGGCGTATCTCCTCTACCGTTTTATCACGTCTCGTTTACGTTAACCAGGCCGTTCTGCTCGTCGTAACTTACTTTCGTTGCTGTTATCGGCTTCCAGGATTCCATACGCGCGTCCTACCTATTCTTTTCCATCAGATTTTTCGACGAAAGGGAAACGCGATTATTTAACAAGATTGCCGGGGATACGATTATTCGCGCTAGCTCGTGTCGAACGTAGCACATACAGCGCCACAAATTGCTCCCCAGTTGCGTAATTGTTTTGCAAATTTTCGCCCGTGGAAATATACAGCGTGTCCGTCGCACAATTCCCACGGCGAACATCCAATTAGCGGCCGTTTACGGCTGACTGGAATTTTAATGATCTATGGACTTCACGGGTTTTCACCAACTCGCAGTTTTCCTTTCCTCTGCGTGAAGCACCGGCAACGCTTTTCTTTCGCTTCACCTGCGCAATTAGACGCGTTTCGCGAGCACATCTCTCACGAATAATTAAGAAATCAAAAGTTGGACGAACGTTAACAGCGCGAATGTCGCATCGCGTCGAATTGAACATCGCGAGAAACTCCCGAATAGTTTTATTCCACTGTGGAACATGAAATAGAATTATCCGGTGGGAATACCGTCGAAACGAATAAGCGTTATCGGAAATCGATAACAGTCACGGTCGATTTTTTCCGCCAGTCCGTGTTTTACATTTCGAAAAAAAACGCTCGATGCGTCAGATTTTTCCCGGCGACTGCTCGCGCATTTGCCCAAGAAATCGTGACATATTTTCCAGAGGTGTTGCACCGAAACGGGGAGTGCATGCTTTCGCGAAAAATTCTTACGAATCTCAACGACCGTGACGACAATCGAGAGAACTTGGCCAACGTTTTCTTCTCCCCTAGTCTCAGTTCCTATCGCGATGAAATTAATTGCACGGGATACGTATGAAATATCGAATCTGTTACACGCTTACACGGCACAACGAGCGTATAATTGAACGTGAAAATGGATTCGTTCGAGGTGAGCTTGCATGTCTTACGAACGTCGTGACAGTTTGGCCAAATGCGACAATTCAACATTTTCATATCGACATTTTCTCTTTGGAGAATACTTCACTGTACCTCCGCGATATTAATACGGTGCGGTCGCCGCGGTACAGTAAACGAACTTTACGTTGCATCTTTTGAAACCGGGGCTGGAACTTGAAGCGTTTCACAGGGTCGTGAAGGATTCAGGCCGCCTCTTCTCGATGAGTCGTCAATCCCGGAGGAGTTCTTTCCGTGAATGTTCAATTATAAACAGTTCTCCCGGTCCGTCTGTTTGAAGTTCAAACACGAGGGTAATCGGTGCTCTGCAAAATTGATCGCGACCGCGATTCTGCGAAATTTTCACCGATATTCCTGTGCGTTCGATTAAACGCAGCTCGACTAATTGCGCGACTAATTATTGCGTAACATTCGTACAGTCTAGCCAGGGTTGAATCTTAAAGCGTTCTCTCGTTTGAATCGTTCCTCTTTACCGGAGGAAAAGGCGAGCACCTGTGCCTCTCTTTCTATCGGAACTTTTGATCGAGCGACTTGAAAAGAGATTCGAGTATAATTGCTCTTTGATCAGAGACCAGCTCGATTCCGTGCTTTTGAAATCCATCCACGTGGTAGGTCGATCACGAGCCGCGGAAATTGATAAGCGTGTAAAACCTGATATTCCCTTTTCACCACGGCGAATTAGCTGGATTAATTGAGGATCCAGTTAATACATTCGAGAGGATACTGTTTTCAAATGGTATCGCCAGGGTTTAGCATGGAATAGGAAACGATACGCGATTATCTCATCGAAGGTCTCTGCAGCTGATTAAATTAAGGGTTCCACGAGCAACATGTGCCGCCTCGTTACCTTTGACAAACGAAGCCGCGGTCTAATTAAAACGGCAACGTGGATACTCGAGTAACACGAGGTAAGTCTTTGCAACCAAACGACACCTTCTTTCTTTCTTCAACTCGACGATACAGTTTCTTCCAAGGTTGTCCGTGAAAAGTGCGTGCACGTCGCCTCTGACCCATATATCCGAGCGTATAGCCGCGAAGCAAGTACAGAATAACCGAGAATTACACGTTACAAAGGGGACTGAAAATGTAATTAGCGTAACTGGAATCGTTCGGACGAGAAGGTATTAGGGTAATTGCTCGACGAAAGTCGAGGGGGGAAACTGGCAGGAAGAGGCGAGTTTTGACAAGTTGGAGATTCATGCGGAGCATCGCGTTGCGAACAGAACGAAGCAGAAGTTTCGCGGAGAATCAACACACGTAAACCCTCTCCTTCACTACTTTGTACACGAGATTACCGTCTCTTCTACGCTTCTCTTCAACGCTTTGATTGTACAGAAAAACGAGCCACACGTATCACTGTGAGAAAGACACGACAAACTGGCCTCGTAACTGTCCAACACTATGAGAACTCACGCTATGCTGTCGTATGTGTTCAGTGTGCACTGCTGTTGATACGCTACGTACTACCATGACACCGTGTCTTACGAACAGAACAGATTCCACGAGCTCGGTTCACGTATATCATCCTCGTCACCGGGGAACGTGTTTTCCTTTTTAAACGATACTTTCGTATCTCCTCCAATTTAGATTCAGATCGAGAAAACACCTTCCCTGCTGACACTATTTTTCGGCCAATGATTCTCACTCCTGTGTAGGTGTTGCAGCTAACTCTAAACTCTCAGTATTATACACACTTGTACCTAACCCTACTACTACCTACTCTCGATACTACTACGTGCCCGTGTTATATGTGTATTACCACCCACCTATTCTATGTATCTACTATATTCTATACCATATTGTACTTTTCCTACTGCAGTGTTGTGGTGATTGGTGACCTGTACTGTACTTGTGTTTACAGGCCCGCAGCGCCAGTACAAGTAGCTTTAGAAGCCTGAGCCAGGTACATACCAAAAATGACATAATCCACATATAGCTGAGATATTAGTGATAACTAGCTAATCTTAGCCGGACCATAGCTAGACACTTAGATGAATCTAGACACTAATTGCTCGTGCGTAGATGCGTAGAGCACGGCGCGTTTCTCTCTATCTCTCCCTCTCTCTATATTGTATCTATCTCCATCGCGGGTGTTCCAATTTCGAGAGAACCGACCATAACGTGATACTACGATCATGATCGCCACACCATTAGCGTTTAGAGTGAGACCAACTAACGATCAATCGGCCGTAGACGAACGCTTTGTACAAGTAACGAGACAGTAGGTTGTACAACACGATATAAAGAAGGATTTATCCAAAAAAAAAAAACGGAAAGAAAAGAAGGAACGGTAGTACACGGTCCACGTATGGTACATGCATGCCGATGATTTTCCCTTCTTACTCACGCAAAGAGACCCAGGAATGCTGAATGAAGCATGCCATTCACACGCACACCCTCCCTTATACTACTATTCCTTAACCAAACACACCAATCGGTAGAAACACTGCATGTCTATCACCCGCCTGCCTTATCTTAGAGTCTGTTCTCTACTCGTGCATCCCTCTGTCTTTCTTAATTCTTTCTTTCTATTCTTCTTCACCTTTCTTCTTCTCAACACAGTAGGTATTCTCGCGGCGATTCTCACGCGAAAAGGAGCAAAGTAAGTACACGATAAAAGTGTCTGGATCGGTGATAGTTGAACTCCAAGTAGTAGAATGGGAAAGCTCTCCCTCCCGACGGACGCGTTAGAACATCCCAGACTTGGTGTCGCCTCCGTTCGATACTGGAAGAATCGAGCAGGCGGCGTAAACTGTGTTACGATAGCGTCGTTATTTACACGCGTTAATACCGGAAATAGACTCGTAACCCGTTAACCAGAGAGAGAATCTCTTAATCGGATATTACCTTACAGAGAAGTAATAGAAGCATCGTATTAATTGCTCTCGAAGACACTCTCGAGGAGGGTGTCGCGTTAGCCAGACCTTTTCATTGCAAAGGTTCCTCCTTTCGAAAGGAAGCCGCTCAAGGCTCGTAATTTATTCTCGCCTCGACTTTCAGTCATCGTTTGGTCCGCCCGCGGTGTTCCTCTGCGGCTTTGCATATTAATTACGAGGAGCGCGGCTCTTGGAGCTATTTAGACGGGGGGATCGTTTTATCCCGAGAAGCTTGAGCTGGACTGCAGTGCTAGTGACGGGGCGTGGTGCCACGGCTGCGCTTTTCGACGTGAATCGAATCGTCACCTCGTCTCCACGGTGAAAAAGAAATTGTCTACGCTCGTCCCGGTAGAGCGTATAGGAGGATATCGACAGACCGTTTAGAGCACACTGAGAGCACACCATTCGCAGCGCCATCGATACTTCCCGTCGTTGCATTTCAAGGTTGACTCGCGAGCAGTCGATCTATCGCTTCCGGAACCCTAGAAGGGAGCAACGAGTTCCTTTCGCGCGATAAAATATACGGGGCGCCACTCGGTCGAACCGGAAACATTTTGTAGGAAAAGGAGGACTCCCTTTTGGAAAGAAACGGGCCGAAAAAGCTGGCTGGATGGTATATTAAGAGAAGAAAGTCCGGGTGAATGGCCCATCTTAGGCCCTCGTTCGGAGCACCCTTTTGTCAAGTAGTCGTCGGATATAAAAGCAATAAGAGAGAAAGAGGAGGCGAGTGAGTTGGAAGGTGGTGGGGATGGCGGTAGGTTCGGCTTGAGGATGGTTCGGGTTGGGAACGACGATCGATAGCCTGGGCTGCACCCTCTCATCGTTTGGTGTGTTGTCGTGGCCATTACTTTAATTATTAATCGTATTCAGCTGTTTCGAGCTCTGTCTCCTCCACCGTAAGTGCAGTGACACGTTCCAAGGTCTTGTCATTCCCCGTGTTTATTCACTCGATTTACCTCCGCACACACACCCCTTCGAGCCTTTATACACTTACCGACCCTCGACTCTCTGGCATGTGACATTTACGCGCGCTCGCGTTAATCGCGTTAACCTCATCGAAAATTATAATGATCGTTAGCAGCGGCGTTCCCGAGGATTAGCGTAACGTTCCCGCTGAATATCCAACTGGAATTTCCAACCGCATTTCCGGAGAAACGCTTTCTCTTACCATTCCGCCAGACGTGCTCTCCCACCTGCTACGCTTCCGACCAGATTTTGTCTTTCTCCGTGGAATATATATTGGATATCCGTCACTTCTCCCGACACGCGTCAATCTATCGATAGGATTTAATCGACTGCTACTCCAGTTCACGCATCGACGATTCGCTCGCGCCTACAGAAATTTCCACGAGATTTCCACCCTCGGATGCCGCTCTGTCGTTCGACGTGCAGTCACGTGGAAAACTCGTATAAAACGTACAGAATGGAGACTTAACGGCACACCGGGTATAGAGAACACAATTCAGGTCGCAATTATTGCGATTGCTCTTCGGGACTATACCGTTTCTTTCGTCGTTGCGGTACCCGGCTCTTTGCCGCGAGAACGTCTTCCGAACGATTTTCTCCAGCAATTTTAACGACCGCGATTAAACGCGAGGTAACACCATCGAAGTATACCCGGCAAAATCGAAGGAAACCAAGGTTCGTCAATCCTTTGATATATTTTTCTAGCAATCCTCGAGACGGTTCACCTACGGGGTATAGGTTTTCAAGGGCGGTTGCAGTCGGCCCCAATTATTGATCCTTTGGAAGCGGCTTCCGGGTCTCGCTCGCAAACACTCGGACAAAACTTGAGTGGGTGAAACGGCCGGGGCCAGGCCTGGAGTCCTGGATGGAGCGAGGAGCGAGAGAGACTAGGCAAAAGGGAAGGAAGGATGCCGACGGTGGCAAAAGCTGAAAGCGGAGCATGGCTGATGGGTGGCGATGGGCGCGTTCTCTCTCGCTCTCTTCCCTCTACCGATCTTCCGATGACAATTCTGCCATCCAGATTTCCAAACCCATCCGCCGCAATTTCCACTTGGAAAACATTCTTCCTCACCTCGGTCTTACGTCGTTCCCCATAATGAATATTCTAGGTATTAACGAGGAGGAGGGAAACGCAAAGTGCAAGCCGGAATTTCCAGCTGTAGAAAGGCACAGGTTCGAGGTAGATACTCGCTCGATGTTATCGAGTCACCGGCTAAACCGTACCCATTGCCTATAACCTCGATAACCCGGCTGATATATGCACACCGTGGGGCTATAAAGCATGAAGACCTCGAATCTTGCCGCGAGTCGATGCCCGAGTTGATCGAATAAGTGGCCTTCACGGAATTCGAACACGAACCTCCTGCACGCTCAGCGATTTGCTCGCCGGAGATCCTTGATTAATATCCCATAGAAACTTCGCCGCTTTCGAGGGGACAGGAAATTATTGGTCGCGTCTAACTGGGGTTCACGCAAAAATGGATCAACTTCCGGCAGGGATAACCATCCTCCTCCGTTGGTCACGCGACCCAAACAACACCGGCGTCCACACCGATTACAACGATCGTCAATCTTCGGCATCAACGGAATAAAAATCATTCCACGGTTCGATGATCAAAGGTAACGTTTAATCGAGCACTTAATTAACGGATTGACGTGTACATGATGCGCAAACGAACGTGCACAAGGTGAGAAATGAAGTATCGGTGAAGGCTCGTCGATCCCACGTCCATTTCTCACCGGAGTGAATAATACGTAGCCGGTTCTCTCCCGTGGAATTTCAATTTCGAGAAAGAGTCCGTCCACGATTAATGGGAGTATCGTAGGAGAAAAATGCAGGCGTCTCTTTCACGCGAGACGGCGAATCCCCCGATGATTTTAATCGCCGGTCATCATCTCCATGAATTCTGCAACGTAGAAAAATTAACGAGGTTAATCCGATACGTTCGTATCAAAGAGAATAACAGGGATTTCCCCTATTCATTTCCCTGGTACATTTCTATTACGAATTTCATCCGAGGTGAACTCGGTGTCGTCGAATGTCGCACGCCATAAGCTGAAAAGTTATTTCGAAATGGCTTTTCATTCGATCGCCAGACGAATATGTTCCTCCTGGGGAGCAACTAGGTCGTATCCTTGCCCCTTTATGCGGCCTCCTTGGAGTTTTTTCAAAGGGGCTCTGAATGGCCGGTATTAAGACGTTCGTGGTTTAATCAAGCTCTCGTACGAGCCACCGTAACCATCTCTGTAGACCAGAAGCTAACAAAAACCTCGTACTATCAACATCGTAACTTCTCCGCCGTTTCGAGGAACTTTCGTCGGGGAAAAGGTATCGGAAGTAATTAAACCATTCCGGTGTAACGACCAAGGCGCAACGGCTTCCGTGAGATGCGGTAAGAGAGTCTTCGACGAGGATGAAGATGAGTGTCCTGTTAAGGATATGAGATGCTCACCGTCAAAGTCAACCGTGCCAGAGCCGTCGGTGTCAATTTCAGCGATCATGCCGTCCATTTGATCAGGCGTTATCTGATCATCCAGAGCGGCGAGGATCTCTCGGAGAGAGCTGGTAGGAATGTAGCCGTTCCCCTCCTTGTCGTAAAGCCTGAAAGCCTCTTTCAGCTCCTTCAGCAACGCCTCGTCGTCCTCCTCTTGGAAGTGGCTGGCCACCCGGTAGAACGAGTCGAAATTCAATTTGCCGCTGCCTGAAAGCCCAACCAAGCCCCGCCGCCGTTAAAAAAAAAGGAAAGAAGAAAAAACCAAACTATCTTCGAACAGCGTGTAAACAAGTTCTCCAGCCTCCGTTGCATTTCCGTTTTCCGATATAAAAATATCCTAGACAATATACTTGGTAGCTGTCCAAGAATAAATTTGAAATTTATATCGGCCAGACGAGACGTGCAATCCACGTCGATCGAGGAAAGCCCGTGGATTGGAAAAATAAGGAACATCTTGACGGAAAATTAGATTCGAATCGAGAGAGAGAGAGAGAGAGAGAGGATATCTTCGGCTGGTCGATATGCACTCGACAAGCATGGACAGCGATATCTGCATAATAACGCGTGCCGATAAAGCTGAGCATTGTCTCAATTTCCGAGGCAATTCGACGGGCTTACGGTAATTCCTGGTGTCCAGTTTGGTGTCACGGATCGACGTCATGGCTAAGTGCCTGTCGTTCGTACGCTATAGAGCCGGACACGGTGGCTAGAGCAGTTCGATCGTGGCTTCTTGAACAACGTTGCCCCGTGTCGTGACGGCAATGGGTAAGTTCTACTTGCACGAAGCACAATTAACCCGTTCGTGCTACTACTATTCACCTCTAGAGCATTTGATTTCTGCTCGATTCAGCCGCGTTACAGGCCCGATAAGAGTTAGCATTTTACCGGAAGATGGATTAACAATATGCACCATACTCCTTTCTAGTCGAGCGAGTGCTGATACTTTCAGATTACCGTGCTTTTTTAATCTGCCTGCCGGATATGCACGCGTGGGTGAGAACTCTTTGAACGACGTAACGTCTGAAGTGTGATTCGTTGGAGCTAGTGTGTGGCGTAGGAAAAAGTAGGCTGAAGAAGGAGACTCCGCGGCGACCCAATTCTTTTCCACGGGTAAAAAGGAGAAGATATCTCTCCGTGGAAATCCTGAAAGGAACTATTCTTCCTTTTGAGGTGCTAGTCAAACGAAATCTTCGCGTGGATATCAGCGTACGAAGTTCATCCTTTGAATAAACCCACCGTCAGAGGACTGCGAATTCTTCTCCACGGTTCTTCTTTCGTTTGTTTCGCTTTAAAATGTCCACAGAGCTGCTGAACGGAAACGCGAAATCGCCCCAAGTCGCGCCTATTAAAATTAATCAAGAAGAAAAGCTGAAAACACTGCGTGACAGCGCGAAACCAGAAAGCTCGACCAACTTGAGAAACGTAGAAAAGTTTTCGCGTTTAGCTTTCTTTACCTCTACACACGTGCCTCCTCTCCCTGTCTCGGTCATTATATCATGAATTATTTGGGGTTCGGTCGAACGAAGCCATCGATCCACGGAGCGGCCAATGTCGGTCCAAAAATTCCTATAACACTCTGGTGCGCGGAAAGGCAACGGGGAACGATTGAAACGCGTAAAATGAAGAAATACAGTACCGTCGTTGTCCTCTTGTTTGAGCAGCAACTCGAGATCGTGATCGTCGAAAGTGTGCCCCAGGGTGTTCAGTATCGTTCTTACTTTTTCTTTCTCGATACGGCCCGACTTTGTCGAGTCGAACATGGAGAAGGCTCTCTTGAGCACTGTAACATACAACGAATCGCTGCTTGCCGTCGTTGTAAAATATTGAAAAGAAAGAAGAAAAACACGACACAAGAATTTCGATAAATCGGTCTCGTGTGTATCTCTCGGAGGATTCTAACGCTGTAACGTAAACTCGAAAGGCATCGTCGCAGAAATTTCCGTTTATTTACGCGGTGTGCCAGCGGCGTGTATTAAAATAACGGGGCCGAGTCAATCAGCGGTTTATTTTGCGACAGGGAGGTGTATTGCGCAACCCGTGGGCCACGTAGAAGCATAACGCGTCTCGATACTCCGTCGCGTGGGCGGATAGGAGGTGTGCAAGATTTTTGAGAAATTTCGCCAAAGAACCGGAATATAGGAGAGACTCGAACTGTTGTTCCCTCGACGTCGCTATAAATCGATTCGATTCGACGCGATACGATTTGGCAGAGGTTCGAGATCCGGTCCCTATCCACGTTTAGGCGACAAATCTTAACGAGTAACCGTGTTCCTTTGAAGTCGCGGCAATGGAAAATGCAGATCGACCTGAATCTTAAACACTCGCCGGCCCCCGTTTGACAAATAAACCATACTTGTTGACGCGTCTGGGAGATCCAATGAAATACGGGCACCGCATGGCGGCGCACAGTCTATTTGTACACGTGCAGAATTCCGTTCCGCCTCGTTTACGGCAATTACGCCTCCCTGGAGGATTGTGTTGCTCGATTTTTACTTACTTTTGACCTGGTCGTCATCCTGAAACAGAAAAGAAACTGTATTTCAGCGTGGGTTCTCTTTCAAGCTGGCTCACTTTTAGTTAACTGATATATTCACTTGAGAAACAGCAGGGACCGAACGATAAAACGAATTTTGATAGAGCCCCGACGAGATTTAATTCTCCGTACTGTCAATTATTTCCGATATGGAAAACCGATCGAAGAATCGCTGGCGCGTAGCCAGGCTGCTCGGTCCTCTGCCGTTTCGATAGAGAATCCTCCAATTAACGCGTTTCCATGCAACAACATAGTCACACAGGCCACCATTCGTTCGACACTTAATTGCAAAATACCAACTGACCATCTTTCGAAGGTTTGTCCGCGACAAACGTGAACGCCGTGTCCCTTCGTTCTTCGGTACTAATGGCTTATCCGCACTGGATATCTTTTATAAGCTCAGCTAGAACGCATGGAAGGGGAGATGAAGAATTTCTCTCATCCCTTCCTGCGAACTATCGAAATTCACAGCTTCTCTCACGACGCGGAGAAACGACGCCAGTTTCTCGCTGCTATAATGCTACGGTTCTCCATGGTAGAAACGGTTAACTAACACGCACCGAGAACGCTGTCTATTCCAAGGCCGTGTGACAACCCATTCGCCCCGAAAAAATTCTCGAGTTTCTCATCGTCGTTTCAAATATACGATTATTCGGCAATCTCCGTTGCAAATCAACTTGATCGATCGGTTTCAAATGGCAGACAGATTATCGTCGGTCAAAGTGTGTCTCTCTCTCTCTCTCTGTAGAGGAAGATTTGTAACGTGCAGTAGAAAATAGAAAATGCAATCTATTATAGCGAGGAATATTACTTAAATTCCCGGTTATGTGGTTGTTTTCTCTATGCTAGAGAAGGCCTGCCAAAAAGTTTGAGGGAAAAGCAATAAAATTTTCGTAGACCGCAGACGCGGTTGTAGGAGGCTGCCGAGAACACGGCGGCACCGAGTGGAAAGAAGTGGGGATGGTGCTATTTCAAAACATTCCAGACTATGATACTACCGCTTTCCATTCAACCACCACATCGCTCGGCGCAATATTATATCGCCGATTCTTTTTATTGATTACCAAGAAATTTAATATCCTCGGAAGCTCGCAAATTCACCGAATGATTCTTCCAAAGAATCATCCACCAATCTGAACGGAATTAGGCGAACCCCCTCCTCCTAAACAAAACTCGATTCGTCTCACGTTTAAACCATCTGCCAGGCGACAATTAAAGTTCCACCGTCGCGTCGTATAAAATTCGTCTTACCGTTCATTCAGATATCGCTGATACTTATCGGCACGTTTCGCTCGAACCTAAACGATCGTACATCGTAGGCGTGTTGCGTAACGGTGGACAACTCGGAAGATCGCGCCGCTAATGGAAAACTTTGTTGTTACGCGACCCTGGTAAACGAGAGCAAAGTTGCAGTTCTTGCAGCATTTTTACCGTCTCTGTGCCCCTCTGACGTATAGTGCTTTTCGCAAGAACACGGTAGACGCGGCGAAACGCTATAATTATCTCGTCAGTTCCACCCACGCCGGCCCGAACCACCTCTCCGCTGAATTATTACTTGAATAAACTCGCGATATTTTTAGATTGTCCAATACCAATTGTGCACCTCATGAGTGAATATATATTTAAACCGTGCGGAGTCCACCCTGTTCTGCCTTGGCTAATTGGCTAGCCAGCCGGTCGACGAACTTCTTCTTCGTTCACCCTCTCGTTTTCACCGAGTGCCTATCGATCACGATCGTTCGAACAGTCTTTTATTTTCACCTCGAAAACATCCTTGATTTTTAAACAGCCCGTGTGGCCCACTTTTTTCCCCCCGTGGTTCCAACTAACCAAGGCTCTTCCTCTTGGCCTCGGTACGCGGGCAGATTCCAGCTCGACCGGCAGTTTGTATCAACTAACTCGATTTATTCCCTCCCGATGGGCATCTCTCCGTTCCAGAGATTCGAATCTACGCGATTGTCCATCGCGGGGACGAAAGGGGCAGTTTTCAGGCTCCTCTCATCCGTTTACCCCGCGATAACGATGATATCCGATTTAGGGATTCGAGCCGCATTCGATGCTTTTCAATTTCCACGACCGACGACCATTCCTGTCCGTCTCTGTTTACCTTATCTGCTTACCTCGCGATTGTCGCGCGGAAAGAATCGGTACTCGCGAAAGCGGTGAAACAGGCGGACCGAAGGACGAAGGAAAAGGCGATTAATTTCCAGGGAAAACTCGGAAGGGAGAATAAAACGCGAGGCTCCGTGGTGGCGATGACTAAAATCTCGGAAATTACCGCGGATCATTCTACAGTGTGTCGTTAGCAGATCGTCGCGAACAATGGCGCCAGATGCACCCCGACCACGAAATGTTGACTCGACGCTCGCACGGATTCTCCGCTCGTAATTAAGGGTATTGTTCGTCCTGCGACCTTAGATCTTTCTCTCGCCAGGGAAAGCGAATTTTTGTTCGTACCAACGTGGAAAGGTGGCCGCCGCATTTTTTTTCCCACCCTCCTCCCGAAGTTCGTTTCTCGTTAAAAGCAACGTATCGGAAAAGCTTCCCCCGATTAAAACGTTCCACGGACCAAATGACTAATTACGGAACAAAGAAAGCGGTTGGAATAATTACGAATCAAGGCTGAAAGACACTCTATACGACATCGAGGTTTTATTTGCATATGCAAGTCGCATCGATTGCATCTCTCTCTCTCTAGAAGGAATTCATCGGCGAAAAGAGATTTCTCGCTGGGTGCATTCGAACTCAGACGATTGGCATAACTCTGCATAGAGCGATCGGGAAGGTAGATAGAGAGGCGCGGGAGATAAGTTTGCGCAAAGGGGACAAAAGATATCCGTAATCGGCGATGGCCCAGTTTTTGGCCCCAGTACGATCGGTAAACAACGCTATTTTTGCAATTCCTGATGCTCGTTTTCTCCGTATATTCAGGCTGAGCTCGTAAATCCGTGCAAACTTTTCCCTCGGGTACACGCGATCGCCAACGATCGTCTTCGGGGACGTCCCCCGAGTCACTGTTCCCTCCGCCTACAGAGCACTGTATCAATAAGGTAGTTCTCCAATTTGAAACGTACAAACCGCCTCGTACTCGTTGCAGTCCAGTCGAAGGTCGGATCCGGTAATTAAAAGCCGGCGGAACAAAGAAGAAACTAGACGATCGTGTGATGAAATTCGGTTAAGCCGCGGAGCAAGGCCGCTGACGAGGGAAAACGAAGAAGTGGAATATCCAGCGTGACCTGGTCCGCCGATAGTTTAATCATCCGGTGCAATTAAAAGGAACGAATCGAGCGACGTTTCGATTACCCTGGAAATCCCATTAATTCGTTCACGTGGTGGACAGTACGCGATACATCGAGTAGTCCCTTATCGATCGTTCGCGTATCTAACGATGTTCTCTTTTATTCCCAACAACAGGCTCGCAACAAACCAGCCGACGGAGTTGGCCATGTGAACCAGAAGGGCTCGGCGGGTCAAAAGGCGCCGCTTGCAGCCGGGCAAAAGGTGGCGCCTGGTGGAAAAGTTGCCGCGAAACCTGCTCAGAAACCCACTGCTCAGAAGGGACAAGTGAAAGTTACACCCAAGGCAGCCTCCGTGAAGACTGGCAAGAACAAAAAGAAGGGCCAGAGACAGCAGTACGATCTCATCGTCACTATCAACTTGGTAAGTAAGAAGTGCTTCTCTTCAGCGTCATCTGACGTTTGGTAACGCACAGTAGAAACGGACGGTCGCGGTCAGACACGGCCGACTCTAGTGAAATACCGACCAGACGGTGCAGAATAGAAACGAATCGCGCCTAGATCCTCCACTTCCATTAGATGGTAGCACGAGTACCATCGTACGAACGTCTCGAAGACGTAGCTTTACACCGTTCCTTTATTACATTTATCAATCGTAGTTTTCTTGCAAATGGATGCAATTGGTGATGATCTAGGGTCGCTTAACCGGGGTCGATGGTGTCGTAAGCAAAGGTTAATTCACTGACGCAAGTGATACGATGCAGTAAGATACGGAACGAGTTTTCCATTATCGAAATTGCACGCTGCTATGGTTGCTTTCAAGTGCACGCCCGCCAATATTTGTCTGGATACTGTAAAAATAACCGGTACGGCTGCATTTTGTGAAATTCACACGCGACACATGCGACGAAACAGGTCAGGGTGTCCGTGATTTTTCGTCGCGACACTCCAGAAATAGTTTCCGACGCGTTCGCCTTTCCTCGCTCGGTGGGAGCGGAGCTCTTGCTAAGGAAAACAAATGCGTCTTGTCTTCTAGCAATTAATCGATATTCCGAGCGATACGTAACAACGTTCACGGTTCAAGAAACTTGATTCCGATCTGCGCACAGGTTGTGCAACATCGTCCAAAGTTAGACCATCCGAAATATTTGTGGCCAGTCTTCATAATTGCAGTCGATGTCCGCTTAAATCACCCGCGACATGGTTGATTCAGAACATCAGCGTGCCCGACTATCGGCCGTCTCAGAATCGTTTTCAAGGTAATGTCTACACTCGAGGAATCTCAGCCAGGTGCTTCGTTTATCCACGTTCGTCCACAGTCGTGACGGCGAACGAGTGTCGGTTCACCCGCAATTTTCGACGATCGCGGTGCACGCCGTTTGGCAAACCGTACCACGAAAACGAGCAACTTGCCATTAAAGAAGCAGAATGAAAGAGAAAGGAGGACGGTAGGTAAAGCGAATAAAGCGGTGACCGTCGACGAGAACGTGATGCGGACCCACTGACAAGTTAAAAACGTACGAAGGTTGTCGAATGTAGAAAGTGACCAGTGTCTCTTTCGAACGAAAGATACGTCGGTTAAGGTCTTTGACTTTTTCTACTTGATTTACGGCCAGAAAGATGATTTATCGCGAGTGCATCTTGACAAGTGGGGGTGACGGTGATAATTTACGATCGTGTAGAATGCACGCACACCAGTTTTCCACGTGAACGAGAGGGGAGAATCAGAATGAATTCGAGAGACCAGACGAAGGATCCGCCGCTGCGAACAAGCGGTGACGTTGCCACTCGCTAGTGGCAAATCCATAAATATTATTTGTGTTCGGTCCTGTGGTCGCGCTGCTCCGATCGACGCGTGCCAGCCACTTCGAGTCAGAGGCAGAAATTTCTTCTCGCGGCAACTGAGAAGAAGAAAAAAGAAACCTTTCGACTTGGAGGTTGGAATTAAAAAGCTCAGGTGAAATTAAAGAAGGACGCGAGGCATTGAAGTGACGAGAGCCACTGTACGCGGGCCAACTCGTTGCCGGGGACAGATGTAAATTTAAAAGGTGGCTTGTACAAAGTCAGGTGCAGTTATTAATCGGTAATATTAGTGCGCGTGACGTTGCTCGACATGACAGACTCCGAGAAGAAGTACACCACCGCCTATGGGAAGCTACGGAGATTGACCAGTACCATAGACGGTCAGATTCGAACGAACTCTCTGGTGATTTCCAATTTATCGATACGTCCAAGTCATAATGCCCGACAGAAGTTACTTGTGTCAATATTAATTCGCTTTCGTCTCGAAGCTCGATACTGGCCGCCCGCGTGTTTGAGTTTCACAGCGCGAATTCAAAGAGATCGGGTAAATATATAAATGCGGCGCAGACACGTAAAGCCCGGCTGACTTTTCGCGAGTTTACGCGAGCCCCTCTGAGAAGCGGTGGAAAAGGACGTGACCCAGTTGAATACCAACTCCGTCTACTTCGGAAGGAGCCTCGAACCATCGAAGCAAGAGCTTCCGGCTAAGACAGGTCCGACAGAGACTCCTGTCCCTTTCCCACAGTGCTTACGATTACACCTCGGGATATCCATCCGCCTAATCCACGAAAGTCGTCTCGTACAGACAACACTGAACGTTTCACGAACAGAGACAATTTACCCGTTTCGAGATGGTAGAGAGACGGTGTTGCGAGTAATAGAAAAGGAGAAGGAGAAGGACGCCATGGGGATATTTCGAATATATAACAATTTATTTCGGTGCAAATTGCAACATCGTCGACCATAGATCACTCGATACCTGACTCAAGACACCGAGCTTAACTAACCAACGCGGCTTATGGTGAGCTTCATTAGTGCTCGCTTCTGGGAAACTATTTCTAAGACGCTCCCACTAACGACAGCGCCAGGGGATTGGTCGCTTCAGGAATATCGTAGTAAGGCGTTTATATTCAGGACGTGGCAATTGCGTCGAGAATTCTCCTCCTCGGACGAAACACGTCGAATAATCTTAGGAATTGCAACACCTTATTATTAATAATCATGGTCGGGCGAGACTCTTTCTCGTATTCCCATCGACGAGGGCTTAACAGGCAATTGGCCAAAGTTCGACCGAATCGCAATACCTTCGCTAACGAATCGAATCTACTGTCGGATCAGAAGAAGCCTCCGACGTTCCATTTTCCCTTTGCTACTTCACTCGAGGATTGTGCCTCTCGACGTGGACAGCGAACCGACCGAAAGAACACACGCAGTCGAAGAAATATTCGTTTCGCTCGTTTCCACTGGATGATCCCTCCTGTCAGAACGTATTTGAGAGCATAAACGACCTGAAACCAGCAAAGCCATTTGTACGAGAGCTAGGAAACGCTGATAGCGGTGCGGAGAATTGCTGATAAGTCAATGTTCCTGTAATCGTGTTAACGGCATATGTTCCTTAATCCGCTGTCTATTAATGCTGATTTAACAATGCCGAGCACAGTCGCGTGTAGAAGGCGGATAAGCCGGCGTGATATTACCGTGGGTCAGCCAATTTGCAAGTTAGGACAGGCTCGTTAATTGTGCGAATTCTGCGTAGCTATACGAACGTCCCGGTTGATCGAATACACGCTGGAAAGCACCGAAACGAGTTACATTAATTAAGTTAACCGTGGTGTGGCAGGGGTGGGGCCGCGTTCCTTGAATAATTTCACACGCCGAATTCTTCGCGTTGCTTCGACGAATCGAACGGTAATCCGCTTTCATCACGCACAGAGGCTCGAGAAAAAATTAATCAGCCGAGTGCGGCAATTACCAGGGAGAAAATTATCCACCGTTAATTTCATCGAATTAATGAGATTTCAGCCGGAATTGGCACCATTCTGCAAACAGGCTGCAGTGTGCGTTGGCGGTGGCCCACGGTGCATATTAAGTTTCGATAGGACATTACCGTGGCGTTTAAAGCACGTTAACGATTTAATTGACACAGCGTACGAGACATCTAGTACTTGGACGTAATAGAATTTCACATCTAGCTCGTATTTCTCGTCTACGCGATGCGTTAAACGAAAACGTACTACATGGAAGATTCTCTAATCTCTCTCGTCTTCTGTTTTCTCTTTTTTTCAGTCTGAATATGGACTCACGGAGGATCAAGTGGCCGGTGAGTGGATCTCGAAAATCAAGTCTACCATTTAAACATCCCCTTCCGCGTGATAAAATAACGTTAAGGGTCCCTTGGCAGCGAATACCAGAAGGGGAACGCGACAAAGTCCTTTCTTTCGCTTGGAAATCGTGTTCCCGAAACGGTTAAAATTTCGACCGAGAATTCAAGTGTCTGTGAACCTCTCGTTAACGAGTAGAACGGAGTTTTTCGCCGGTTTTTCGCCGGTGAGAAAATTCGCGAACATAGCTGAATACATGCATGACACGTTGGCCGAGTCGCGGTGGCACTCGACGCATGGTACGTCGTTTCGCAAATTAGAGAACCTGTTCATGTTTTTCACCGCGATGCCGTGTACAGGAAAACTTTTATAATTGCACCGAACGGAGCGCGAAAGCCACTTTCTCTAGCAAAAGAAAACACTCGAATCTCTTTTTCGATTCATCGTCGGCCCCCTTTATTCCGATTAATTAATCCACGGTTCGATATGCACGCGGAAGATCGTTCAATCTGCGAAAGTAGCTTTACGTAAGGTGGCTTCCCGTTAGTCTGGCTAGAACGTGTTGCATAAAACATCGTTTTTCGCCTCACGTGACCACGATCATTGGCCTTGCGACGCGGCCTACTCGAAGAGCTTTTAAAACGCGCGAGTTTTTGCGATGGCACGCGACCAGAGATCGCTGATTACGCGGTTGCTGACGCCGCGCCATCGGGAAAATCACCGAAAGAGAAATTGTCCGCTCGTTTATGAACGTTGATGCATCATGTTTACGTGGTGATAAAGGTAAGGTGAATGCGGCAAACGATAAGAACGAACGTCGAGAGACCTATAATCTGCCGGTGGACTTTTATGAATTGCTAGATTCCTCTCTCCACACGCCCCTTCCTATTCGTTTGTAATTTATCATCACGCTAACAGAGCAATTGCTTGCTCTGCAATTAAACGGTGAACCAACGTTTGCCGATGCCATTTTCCACTGTGCCTGAATCCCATCGACACGTCAAACGCAACTACCGTGGCCTTCGCCGTGGTCCATCTTTCCTTTATACCTCTTCTCTCCTACAAAATCCATCGTCCAACTGATTCTCGTTAATTCAATAGATTACTTCTAAAACGAACTGTGGCGGTTTTGAAATGGAAGAAGGGGGGCGGAGAGTTTCTCTGTAAAATACGCCAGCTCTTTTCTCGCGTTTTCCGTCTCGTCTGGAAACTTCCGGTGGAAAAATGTTCGATACGTCGCTGTCGTTTGGAGAGGTAGAGCATCGAGCCGGTGACACGAACAGCCATTTGACGAATGAATTCGCGAAAGAAAGGGGACAGTAAATAGAGAAAAAGCACGAAATAAAAGGCAGAGAGGCGCGCAACAATGGCGAGGCAAGTATTGTTTCGCTGGATCCGCTGATGAATCGAACAAGATTACTTTTAATGAACGCACGTAACCTATTCACCGGATTTTTCAGCCGCACAATGTTCCTCGGAAAATTTATAACGGTGCGTGTGTCTCTCTCTCTCTCTCACGCTCGCGATTCTCTTCGTAGCTGGCTACTTGCCCGACACTCGTGCGGTCTCTAGCTAGTTTTGTACGACTTGTAACGCGTGACCGAACACGCACACGTACATATACACACGCGGAGAGCCGCTCTCATGATTAACAGGCATCTAAATTCGTGAATTCTCAACAATGCGACGCTCATCCGAAGCGTTTGTTTTATGTATATTCGTCCTATTGCCAAATTTCCGCCTGAGTTTTTCTCCCGTTGTTATTTACGGCTCGGTTGGCCGATCTCTGGAATTTCGACGCGAAATCACTGCATCAGAGAACAGAGAGAAATTATTTTCGTGCTTGGAAAACTGAATAACCGTCTGGTATTCAATTCACTTCAATCACGTTCAATCTATCACGGGGAGGATTTAACGTGCGAGAGAAAGACGCTTGAACTCTCGGTTAAAAGCGAAATGATCGAGCTATCGACGTAGCCAGCCAATAGTTAATAGATCAACGACGAAGTAACGAGTAATTTATCGCTTCAGAATTCAAGGAGGCGTTCATGCTCTTCGACAAGGACGAGGATGGCACTATCACGATGGCGGAACTCGGCGTGGTCATGCGATCTTTGGGACAGAGGCCGTCCGGTAAGTGGCTAGCTTAAATCATCGAAAAAACGGGAATACGTGAAACGACATCGGCCGCGTGTCGTCCACGTGTACAAAGGTAGACACGATCTGGCTAGAAGCCATAAGCTGACGAAGGCTGCCCACGTGCGGCCAAAAAATATAACTGTAATCTAAACCACCCAACCGCTGTATTGTCTATTACCTATTAATGTAAGAAGATTGTTCACGAAACCTTATACCTATTTAACCACTGCTTTACATCGCTGTCACACGCCAGAAATGTGCCATTTCACGGGAGAGACCCTTTCTTCCATTGTTTCGATTTCTCTGGCAGTCTGCGAAGGAAAATCTGAAAGGTGCTTAACACTTGGTAAACTTTGAACAGAGCAAATGGTAACGCGGTGTTCTTAAACGCTCCTCGATCTTACGGAAGCTTACGCGGCGTGAAAAGTTTGAAGGGAAATGCAAACTTCAGGAGAGAGAGCGCCTTCTTGCTAAATTAATATCCCAGTTCGAAGGTTTTCCAAGACTAGCCGAGTTTAAACGGGTAGAATTGCCGAAAACTGGGCTGTGACAAGAGCTTAAGGGAAAATGAACTTTTCTGGGGTAGAAACTGCGACGGCCAGGCGCACGTGCAAACGTTGGTAATTAACTGCACGTCGAGTTCTTCTGTTCCCTCTATCCCGCTTGCCGCGATGGATCTGCAAGGGAAATTAAACGTCTTCCATGAAACGACGAGCGTACATGTGTGTTACACGGGGGAATTAGAAAGAGGACACCGCGAAAATGACACGTTATCTCGTCGTTTAAACGACAATACTTCGTTTTCCCGTCGAGACACCGAACAGAGCTCTAACGTCTGGCCAATTTCCGATTTTAGAAACGGAACTACGAGATATGGTGAACGAGGTGGATCAAGATGGCAACGGCACCATCGAGTTCAACGAGTTCTTGCAGATGATGTCGAAGAAGATGAAGGGTGCCGATGGAGAACACGAATTGCGCGAGGCATTCAGGTGCTTTAACCTTCCGAAGAATTATTCGTCTTTTTCTTTCCTTTTTTTTTTTTTTTAAAGGAAATTCAAACACGAGTATTAAAGGGGAAGCTTCTGTTTCTCAGGGTATTCGACAAGAACAACGACGGCCTGATCTCGTCGAAAGAGCTGCGACACGTGATGATGAACCTCGGTGAGAAATTGTCGGAGGAAGAAGTAGACGACATGATCAAGGAAGCGGATCTAGATGGCGACGGAATGGTGAATTATGAAGGTAATTTGTCCCGTTGAATTTTTGACCGTTAGCAGGTGACAGGGTGGCCCAATTCACGAGCCGTTTAGAAACGTCTCTCCTTCCGAAAAGTATCATCGATATTAATCTTTCTCGAAACGACGTATAATGTGTCCGCAGAATTCGTGACAATCTTGACGTCGAAGAATTAGTTCGGTCGAGAAGTAATCCAGCTGCCGGAAGTCTTCGTCGAAGAACGGAATCAAACACGTGAAGTCCCTCTCCAAGATCGTAGCAGGACGGTCATCCTCTCGAATCCCACCATTGAAGACATGGCTGAAACGTCTTCGAAGGTAGCGAGAAAAGGAAGACTTGGTTCAATCAGCTTTTGGCGCACAGCTTTTTCCTCATGCGAGGGTAAGTGGTACCGGAAGACTGAGAAACGTGTCTCGAGTGGTGGGATGACGGGTGACGCGGCGGTAAATCTCGCAGGGATGAGAGAGAACGAATAAGGGAAAATGAAGGGTGACTTCCGCAGTTGCACACGCATACACGCATACACACCTCGCTCCTTCGAATTAACTTTACAAGTATAAGCTAGCGAAACGACATTATACGTGAAAACGAAAAAAAAAAAACAAAAAAAAAACAAAAAACGAGTGAGGTGCTCGCTCCCGAAACAATCAACTGAGCTTTGTTTAGCGTTTACCTACCTACTACTCTCTATTAATGCTATACAACGTCGTTATTGATATTGTTAGGAATGAAATCTGAAACCTTCTCCATTCTTCACCGATCTCATTTACACGATACTTCTTGGCAGCGACGATTTCAGGGATCGTTCGAACGTGGATCGTCCTGCACGCAATATTGATGCAATATTTCGTGGAAATGTATAAACGGTGGAGGATCGGAGTGGTCATTGTTGAACGAATAGTGCTATTATCGAGGCACGGTTAACGATGTTTGCCGAATATATCGCGGGGATAACGTTGACACAGCATTGGATCAATATTGATGCGATTGGATTGAGAAATGACGTGTTTCGTCTATTTGGATCCGCGTCGAAACGATCGAGAAACTCGTCGTCCCTTTCACATTTTGTCGTTCGATCGGTATTGTTCCTCCAATTTCGTAGACTCGCTTGTGAACGAGACGAATCCCCCCTCCCGACTCGTTGTCGAGTCGATCTTTCAGGTGTCATCAACTATCATTAACATTCTGGCCGCGGGACTCGACGCGAGATAGCTCTATAACGATCTGTCTTCAAATTTAGATGAATGTCGTTGGCAAGTACTTAGATTAGTCTTAACGATGCTCGTGGCAGAATTTTTAGACGCATGTCATGGATGCATGCCAGAATGCGAACGCTGGAAAAAAGAAACAAGAATCGAAGTAAACAGCAAGCAGTAGCCGATTTTTTCCGTAAATGTTTACAACAACACACATCGTAGGACGTTTGTCGATGGTTTCAGTTGTCGAACGTTTTTCTATCCCTTGTGTTTTTGTCAACGCTCGAAAAGTAAACAGAGAATCTGGTGAGTGTACCGCCCTTGTTGTTAGCCCCAAGACGCGAGCTTCGATCCTCTGTGTCAGCTCTCCCTGTACCGAACACACACCGTCCGCCAGAAAGCACCTCGACATTTTCGATCCCGACACCCACCATGCCAACTGTAATAATACGTCGTGCACCCTTTAGATCCTTAAGATAAGAAGCCGCAGCCGTAGGTCGCGAATAGAAGGTAGTTAATTAGCAGCATAGAAGGAAGTACGTACACGTAATAAAGAAAAAAAAAAAAAAAATGATGCATTATACACATACCTACTATATTGTATACCTATACATGGTGTTACTACCGAAGATACTTGAGGTAACGTTATTATATGGATATTCATACATACGTACATATATTATATATACATATACACGTTAGCGACGTACGTCGGTGGTATACTGGCATTGATATTTTTATGGTTTTAAAAAAAAAATACAACAACAACATGAACAAGTATTAGTGTCAGAAAAAAAGAGAGAACGAGAGAGCGAAAGTGTGAGAGTGAGTGAGAGAGAAAGAGGAGTGAACGAGATGAGAGAGAAAGAGAAATAAATTGATCGGTTGGTCGAGGCGCGTGTACATAAGAACGAAAAACATTCAAGAGACAGAGATTTTAAAAAAAAAAAAAAAAAAAAAAAAAAAAAAAAAATGGAACAGAGAGAGAATACGAAGAGCTCTTACTTAAGCGCGTGTTACAGGCGAATCGTTTCGCCTTCTAAAGAAGCGTTGGCAGGGATGGTTAATTAATATTGTTATCGTTGGCAGTGTTGGTCACACGAAGCGGTGATTTCACAAACGTACACACCACATACACATAGGGATAGACAATAATTCTGTTCTTTAGTTAGGCGACACGCATATAGTTACATTGTTGCGTTGTTCGGCTCGACCGTTAGGTAAGATACGGGATTGCGTACAACGGTCGTGTGGAATATGGAAAAGGATCACCTTGGAGAAATCGACGTAACTTACCTAATTTTGCGATCGTCCTTTTCGGCTGCCTCGCGCCTCTGGCCTCACGGTGCAAAGAATGCACAAAATTATAGGAAAAAATCTATACCATCGGAAATTTGTTGATTTCTTACGAATATCAGTTTCATCGTAGGATCAAGACGAATCTATTCCACTGTTTAGAGGTCTCGAGTTCTTTTCTTACGCTCGATAAAAATGAATTCACGACCGTCCGACACCGACGTGACGCAAACCCATGCACAATGTAATTGAAGAAAAGAGCCGCGGGCTGTGCAAATCACAAAAAGGATACACAAAAATCGCGGAACTATTATTAAACATGCAAACATAAAACAAGACGCTTCGACAGTTAAAACATAAAAGAAAAACAGAGCTCGATAAGTCGACAAAATAGTAATGTATAACGTCCCGAAGACAATATCTTTAACGATTTTATTAAAGGAAGCTATTCGAGATTTACCTCGAGAGAAGGCCTACGTTTTGCCACGTGTGTACGAAAAGGTAGACTGTAGAGAAAATTGTTAAAGAAAGGGAGGAGAGAGAGAGAGAGAGAGAGAGAGAGAGAAAGAGAGAAAGGACAGAGAAAAGAAGAGATTTACGGTGCAGGAATAACGAGAAAGGTGCTGTTTAGCTTAGAACACCGTCGATTTACTTTCTAGTCTATCCGTCTGCTTTTGTCTCACCTGAGTTACTGCACTTTTCGTTATAATTACTTTCCACTTATTGTTAGAACCCTCTTACGTTCTCGTTCCGTTCTATTTCACCAAGTTCCCTTGTATACCGTTTATTGGAAGATTGCGACGAACGGGCCGGTTCATTTGGATTTACATATACGACATGCACGAAATTTCACTGCACCCCATGAAGTTTTCGTTCGATTTTCCATTCACAATGGTGAAACTAATCAATAAGAATTATCGACAAATGGTAGAACACAAGTACAATGATATCGTCAATACCTGTATATATCTTTCCTTCCACGAGAAAAAGAAATATTACTGCCCGATCAGAGGCCTCGAGATCGCTACATCGAAGAACGCATTCAAAGTGGAGCATGCAAAATGAGAGACTCGTGAATTGTCGATCGGACGCATTTTCAATTCGCAACGCGACACTAAACGCACACTTGTCACGCGCGCTTGTAATAGGTACCTCTTTCATCAATATAGATCATCACGGGGTCTCCGATTGCGTGCACGTTCTTTTTCTTCTTTTTCCTTTCGTCAAATCAATTTGTCCCGCCATATTAGACTCCCGTGGCGATAAAATTTCCTACTTGCTCCCATCCCGGAGAATGCGTTAATTCCGTTCGTCCAGAACGAAAAACTGTCCCTGAAGTGTCTTTGAAATTTGTCTCTCACGCGGGAAATGGCGACAAATAGAAGATGGACAGCCCTATCTGACAGAAATGGCGACAAATAGAAGATGGACAGCCCTATCTGACAGAAATATCGTTGATCAAACCCTACCGAAAAGTATTTTTATAGGATACTCTTCGAGCCAGATCCTATGATACATTTCAGATGACATATTATATTATATTCACGTGAATGTATACGCGAGTGTACAAATTGTACACCGTATCGTATCATCCTACTCTGCTGGCAGATTTCATTGTAGTTATTATATCTGAACGACGACGAGCCGATAAAAATGTTTGTATTCGTCGCGACATGGCAGATTACGCGTTAAATTCATTATATAAAACGTCCTTAAAAGAGGAGTACGCAAAGTCTTCCTTTCGATCTGCATTGTTCGCGATACGAGGAATGTTTCTATAGGGTTTAGTTTCACGGCGTACCTGCTACGATCGCGTTCTATCCTTCGAAGGGTGTATTACTTTCACGCAAGCATTTGCTTCTCGATAGAGTTGCTCAAGTATTTTCTGAGTTTTTTAAATACCCGAAGAGTCGAGACGTTGATTCGCCTAATCGTCGCGAGAATCTGTGGACCAGAATCGCGACACGCTGGAAAAACTTTCGAAGACTGACTTGTTTCGACCGTTTATTCTTTCCAATCGGACAAATCTTTTGTTTCTTGTTTTTAGACAAGTGTAAAAAGTTAGTCTTCGTCTGTTTTATTCGTATCGATCCTCTGGTACTAATAGAGCTTCAGGATGACGCGGCAACGTGAGATGTTCGAGATAGATACGCTTTTGTATGTTACGACTCATGTGAACTTGTGTCCATGTTTTAGATAAATAGTTTCGCTTACGTCGGAAGTAGATAGACTCCGAGCGAACTGATAACCGTGACATTTTCATAGATGTTTCATACGTTGGTGACCTTTCTTTTCTCCACAGCTGTATAGAATCTTTTTGTTCGGGAAAGTTGAAAAATCTACCAAACGAATTTTATTTCTCCCTTTTCGAAAAAAAATCTCTGAAATTGAACACGACCTATGAAGAAGTTACTGGATAATCACAGTACGTTGCAAACCATGCCCGCAATCGAACTTGAGGAACGCGTGCTCGTGGCTTTTTAACCAACGATCTCAACCAGAGACACACGAAGGATGATCAAGGATCGCGAATAAAGAACAGGGGAAACGAAAATTAGTTGATATCAAACGAGTTGAATGATGCAAAGGTAATCAAATAATTATATGTACATTGCTAGATATGGAAAAAAAAATGAGGAAACCTGATTAACTTAGATGTATAATAATTGTAATCGTTGAATAAGTGTAGGTACCTATGTTGTACTAATCGCGAGACCGTCTTTGATAACAGGACGGTTCCTCCTGTTAGAACGAGACGGTTCCTCGAATCGATTGTTTGTTAGTATAATCGAATATATCAACATTCTTTATCCTTTGGCTGATATAAAAGAAAAAAGAAATACCCGCGCTTCGCAATAAGATCGAGAAGCGTACAGATACCGATTGCATCGCTTAAGCCCGGAACATCGACGATTCGTTGATCAAAGAATAAGCTGTTTGTCGAGGTTTCCTAGGTTCGGAGTACGTTACGTGCCGTAGACGGTACAGAAAATCGTATTAATAAAATTGACGGAAACGGTGTCAGAGACTTCCGAATGATAATCAATCGTCGCATCGCGAATCCCTTCTTTCGTAGAGATTAGGTTCGCGAAGAAAACGGATTCAACGCTTTGATACCTTTTCGCGTTAATCCTGTGGTACCTGAGGAATATTTTCTAACAAGAGACACAACTGAATTTCTTCTATTTTCATTTAGAAATTTCATCTGAGGAAAAACTTCACATTTTGCGAAATATCGAACCTTGAACGCGCACTCTATCTCGTTTGGCGGCTTCTTCCCTCGTACACACTCGCTAATTGCTATCGCAAATTTTCTTCGTTTCGCCTAACGTAAAGCGGTCTAAGCATACGTAGTAGCATTGCAAGTAGGCAATACGATATATCGTTACATCTATGACCCAAAACACAATGACGGTCAAGAATAATTATTGTAATAAGAAAACGTCTTTCATTACTTTATTAAAACAATCGCGAGTACAAGTCGTGTTAGCTAAAGGGGAAAACACAAAGAGGAAAAAAATACGGATATACGTGTGTATATCCAATATAGAGCAAACTGAAGGGAGACCCGTTCGATAGATCTTTGGTTCTTCGTGGGGTGCGAATAACTTTTAGGGGATGCGGCGTGGAGACACGAGGATATCCTCGTTAAGATGTAACAAAGGATGAGAATTATCTTCGAGGTGTGTTAGAGAAAAACAAAACAAAACAAAAAATAGCGTAAACACTAAGTGAAGCGAGGTTACACCCAGAGATATCGCACTTTGAATGAGAATATTTATATTTTTACTTGAGAAAATGTTATAATAACGTTTGTAACGTCTAATTCCCACCCGATAAGGAATGTTTATAACGTTATTTTTCTAGAGTATATATCTAAATACTTATTATTGTGTTATGACGAAACGTGCTCTCAAGCGACAGGCAGGCGAGATCTATTATAGATGCAGTACGTACATGTGTATTTACTCTTTATAAGTATTGCGTTCGCTTCGATTACTTCATCATGTTTACGATTTCTCTATAAGTAGCGTATACATATGTATAATTAACTGTACAATAGCTGTTACGAAACTGTGAATCTTATCGCGCGTGTTCACGAAGAATGTGCACATGCGATACTATCGATGTGTTTCTCGCGGTGTTCATTAAACTTTTACTGCTGTACATATTATTTACATCTAAGTTGGAGAAATACGTGATTACCTCTTCTACGACTAACGAGTATATTGATAGCCAGTGTTTATCATTGATAAATAACACCTTTATCGATATCTCAACTTATCTTATCACGATCGACTAATTTATTTCACCATCGACTATTCAACACTATACATATATATATTTTTTTATCCAAACGCTCGAAGAAGAGACGGTAAAATTGGCTATCGATATGTATGACAGAAAGCAAAGAACATTGTAAACGTGAAACAAGCTCTTTACTTTCGCTTCATACCTTTTTTACTTTCGCTGGAAAGCGATTGGGACAGGAAAGACGAGAAACGAAAACGCTCTCTCAGTTGGTGATTGTAAAACCTCATTATACGTTCATTAACTTGTTTCGTCAACCTACTACGACCATTTATTCGAACGTTCCTTTATATCTTGAGAAAGATATTCTGTTCTCTAACTGCGGTACCTGCGATTGAAGGTTCTTACACAGATATGCTCCACTCACGTTTCGTCGTAAAGTGGCAAACAAAATAAGAAAACAAAAAAAAAAAAAATCAGAACGGAAGTGCTGGAAATTGTGGCGAGAGTGCAGTATGTATGGTGTTAGCTGTATGAAACAATGTTACGTGTAATGTTATGTACTGTAAGATTAGAATACATCATAAAATGGTGATGGCGTGTACTGCTGGAATGTAATACATGTATCAAGTTACCCCTAAATACAGCCATTTTATAATGGACAGTTTTTGCGGTCCATTCTCCCACTCTTTTTTTACATATATATTATTATTATTATTATTATTATTT